TGGCAGTAGTAGAAGTAGCAGCAGCAGCAGCAGTAGTAGTAGTCGTCGTCGTCGTAGTAGTCGTAGTAGTAGCAGCAGTAGCAGCAGCAGTAGCAGCAGCAGCAGCAGTAGCAGTAGTAGTGGTAGTCGTCGTAGTCATCGGCGTCCTCCTCCTCCTCCTCCTCTTCCTCCTCTTCCTTCTCCTCCTCCTGCTGTAGTCATCTAGTTATATCCGTAGTAGCAGCAGCGGTTGTGGCGTGTTTCTTTTGCAGCTTTGTCTCAATAGAACTCGTTGCTGTGGACCAGGGAAGTGTGCAATGCTGGATCGTCGGGAAAGGTTCGGGGCTTATGTTCACACAACACAAGAACCTGTCTACAGTCTGAATGACCCTGAATGACCGCATGAGGATGAAGCTTGTCGGTTTCATCGATGCGTTTCGAACTGTCAGCATAGCAGCGTACTGGCATTATCATGCAGTAACATGATCAGCTGTTATTAATGACATCACATAGCACATTGCTGCCACAAAGCAATTCTGCTAGAATCGTGAAAAGAGGCTTTGGGCACCAATGCGGTAGGGTCAGAGGAAGCGTCAAGCTCCTAGAGCCAAAGTTGTGTCCCCTTCATCTCTATGCCCCTGTGCGTCATGCTGCCAGACTGCAGTTTCAGTCAGCAGTAGGTTGCTTCAAAGTCCATACTACAGCATCATTGTGAAACGGCGCGAAATACTACGATGTACCCGTGACGTCCCAGGTGAAGAGCATGGTGGAGCCGCTGCTTGCCATGACGGCGGGAGAGCTTCAGCGGAAGATGGTCCGAGACATCGACCCCTCTGACAACCAAAGGCCAGAAGCCGCAGCTTTACAGATGGCTTTGCGTCTTTCGGTGACGTCGATGACAGCCGACGGTGAGCTGCGCCTTCGGCCACTTGCCTGCCTCCAGCAGCCCGTGCCCGAGTCTGAGTATTTTGTAGACGACAGCCAGCGCCACTTGGTCGTCCACTCCGTCGCCCGCAAGGCAAAGCACGGAGAGGCCGATGACGCCTTGTGCGACCTGGCCATCTGCAGGTGCGACGATGCGACTCCGAAGCAGCTGAGAACAGCCTTCGCCAAAGGCATTCTGGAGCTAGTGAGCCTCTTGGACAAGGCCCAGCGAAGTTTGCAGTTCTATGAGCAGCAGTTGGGGCAGCTGCAAAGCTCGGAGAGGTCTGAGCGAGAGTGCTCCATCTGCTTGGAGCCCATGAACGACCTGTCCACTGCAGCGATCCTTCCCTGCTCGCATGTATTTCACATGCACTGCGTCAGAGACGTCTTGGCGAGGATCCCAAACTGCCCGGAGTGCCGAGCTCCCTTGCAGCCTTCACGGATCTCCTCCGTGGTAATGGAGCTGAAGAAGCCTGAGCCGCAGCCTGTCCAAAGAGCGATGAGCAGAGCCTGGAAGCGCCACGGGTCCAAGCTCAATGCGGTGGCCGCCAAGCTCAAGGAGAGTCGCAAACCCTTAAGGCCCTCTGTCTTACCAAGAAGCCTGAAATCTTTGACCCTAAGCCCCTTCACACTCTCAACCCTTCAAGGCTTCAGCCCGTTATCAACTTGAGCCTTGAAGGAGATCCGCCAGAGCGACCCCTCCGCCAAGGCCCTGGTCTTCGTCCAGTGGGTCGATCTGGAAGCAAAGGCGTGTCGGGCATTGCAGGACCCGTTGGAACACTGCTGATGCCGGCCGTAGTCAGTATCAGTAGAAGACGACTTAGTTGTAGAAGCAGAACTACTGCTACTACTACTACTACTACTACTACTGCTATTGGTACTGCTACTGCTACTGCTACGACGACGACTACCACTTCCACTATTATTGTTGTTATTACTACTACTACTACTACTACTACTACTACTACTACTACTGCTACTACTGCTACTACTATTGCTACTACTAGTATTGCTACTACTACTATTGCTACTACTACTATTTCTACTAGTACTATTGCTACTACTACTATTGCTACTACTA